AAGATACACTTCAAATTGACTAAATGTCTTATTTGGATGAAATAGTCTTATTTTTCTTTCTTTTTCTTTCTTTTCTTGAACAATGTTATCTGTGATTTTTTTTCATTTGTAAGCTATGTCCTTTGCTGTGACCCCAGTCAGAACTGACACTTGCCAAATATTAAGTTTATGTAAAATATATATATAATGATAAATCACTATCTATCCTAATTTATGCCACTTGAAGGCCCATTTAAGCAAATGAATTTTGTGCTAATGAAGTTCTCATCTCACCTAAAGCAGATTACAGGCTGATCATAGCCTACCTGCATGCAGAGGGCCTCACCAGGGCATACTGCAAATTTTTCAAGATTACTTACCAAGATAGCTGACCTCTTTGCTAACCAATGGAGACACATGAGATTGCACATCATCATTTTCTCTTCCTTTTTCTTGAATCATAGACTCATAGAATAACTTAGTTTGCAGGGGATCTTAAAGACTATTGAGTTCCAGCCCTCCTGCCATGGGCACTGTTGCCACTCAGTAGATCAGGCTGTCCCGAGCCCCATCCAACCTGGTCTTGAACATCTTCAGAGATGGGACATCCACAGCTTCTCTGGGCAGCCTGTGTCAGGGCCTCACCACCCTCCAAATAAAGACTTTTTTTCCTAAAATCTAACCTAAATTTTCCCTCTTTTATTTTAAAACCATTCCGCCTTGTTCTATCACTATCAAAGCATGTCTCCCTCCTGCTTATAAGCTCCTTTCAAGTACTAGAAGGTCACAATGAGGTCTCCCTGGAGTCTTCTCCAAGTTAAACAAGCCCTACTCCCTCAACATTTCTTCATAGGAGAGATGTTTTAGCCTTCTGATCATCTTTGTAGCCCTCTTCTCCAACAAGAACTGATGAGGCGGCCTTTTTTGTATGAGTGCCTGCAGTGCTATGAAAGCACAGGTTGCTGGGAGCTGGTAGGCTTAACAAAGTATTAAGCTGATGTGGATTTATAGTCACACAACTCTTCCAGTTGATGTTGTTACTCAAGTGCAAACCTCAGCAATAGGACTTCCACCAGAATGTGGTGTGAAGAGCTTGTTACATGAAGGCGCTCAGAAAAGTTTATCTGAGTTTTTAAGGGGATTAGTTAAATTGTGCTGATTAAAGCCCTTTGTGGCAACTGTCAGAATTAAAGTGGCTTTGACTTGATTTGGTTTACTTCTCTTTCAAGGAAAAGTCATATTAAGAACACTTTAATTGCGAAATGGGAGGCTTAATTCACTTTACTAGTGAATTAATTAACTTTAAATTCCTGCTTTTAGTTCATTTAAATAAACTTCCTTGATTGTCCCCGTGTAGGCAAACCCAAGCAAAAAGTCTGGATCACATTAACAGAAACAACCTAAGACTAACTTTGAAAGAATTCCAAATATTTAAGAACACATTCAGGACATTGCTGTCTTTGTCACCAATGATCTTTAGGAATTGCAGGAAAAGATGCTGAGGTCCAAAGAGGCACAATGAGGAACAGATCTTCAGTGCTGAACTGTAGCTGCCTATCAGGGAAAGGATGGTCAGTCCTGCACCAAAACTGTACTCCAGCCTAAAATAAAGGAGAACAAAGATCTATTAGGAAAAAATTCTTCTCAGACAGAGTGGTAATGCATTTGAACAGGCTGCCCAGGGAGATGGCGGATTCACCATCCCTGGAGGTGTTCAGAAACTGTGGAGGTGTGGCACTGGGGGACATGGGTTGGTGGGGTAGGGTGGTGGTGGGATGACAGTTGGACTAGATGATCTTGGAGGTCCTTTCCAGCCTTAATAAATTTATGATTCTATAACAAGTTCAGAAAATTCCTCTAAGCCCTGAGAAAAGAGGGCTTGGGTCATGGTCTGAGAAGGAAGAAGAAAGCTGCTTGAATATAAGGAGGAAGGAGATTTTATTTAAAGCTCTTTGAGGTTCCTTCCAATCCAAACAATTCTATGATTCTATGCCTGTCTCTGTAAGTGCAAGTTGCTTTTATCATCCGTTTCATTGCTTTAGAAAATCTATACCCTTTTTGCATTGTCTTTTTAAGGCTAGAAATTATTATTAATGCAACACTGGTGCAGACGGTAACATTACGGTGAGCGCTGCTCACAAAGACAAGGTAACTGTCTGCACCAAATGAATGGCTGTGCCTCAGTGTAGATTAGAATCTGTATTGCCACATTAAATGAGAGGGAGTGTGAGACAGGCTTCTTGTACGGCTGAGATCCATTTTAGGATTGAATCTTACTCCAAACAGCAGCATATGTGAGGGCAGAAGTAGTAATTAGTAGGCCCATTTCTATTTGGAGATGGCTGCGTGCATGACTGAGCACCAATGGCCAGTTGATGAGTGGGTGGAACTCCAAGGGGCTGTGGGCAGAGTGAAGCAGCAGTGATTAGCTGCCACCAGAGTAAGTTACTGTCTCCTATGATGCTAAAGATATACTACACTTAATAGTTCATTGGCTAAATACATTCAGATGGTTGATATTGCCTGGCCGGAAACATTCATTCATGTAATTAGTTTACCTTCTTAGTTTAAATCAAATGGAAAATCTCCCTGTAAGGCACAACTTTGGCTGTTGCACCAGTCTTAATCAGTGCAGTGCTTTTAACTTTGCAAAGCTGTCTAGTGCACTCCAAGAGAAAAGCAAGGTCCTCTAATCCCCTTATCACAGAGCCTTATCACAGCCCTCCTGGAAGTCCCCTGGATTTTTCTGGATAGCTTGGCCCCAAGATTTGCAGCAGCTGCTGATGAAGTCAACAGAAAACAAGCCCTCATTGTTACCCGTCAACAATCTTAACTCCAAGAGTGTGATGGGAGGCAAAGGGAATGACTCACCTCTTGTCACAAATCATCTGTGTCACAGATTTGCAGTTATACTGTTTTTTTCCAAGGAACTTCAGTGATTTCACCATTATAAATAATCTTCGGGTGGTTTCTCTGGGAATCATGAACATTTAGCTTAATGAATTAATCTTTTCTCTCTGTATCATAACAAGACAGATACCTTTAAATATGCTGTGTATGAGGCAGAAAAAAAAAAAGAGGAGCATAAAGAAAAATGTCCAATTTTAAAATACCTTTAAAGGTATTTCAAGATTAAGCCAGACCCTAAGAAACAGTGGAGTAATGCTATTTAAATCAGCAATTATATTGCTCCAGGGAGGGACAGCTGGGGGTTAGGACGAGGTTCAGCACCAGAGGGCAGTGGGCATGGAATGGGCTGCCCAGGGCAGTGGGCATGGCTCCGAGCTGCTGGAGTTCAAGGAGCATTTGGACAACACTCTCAGACATAGGGTTTGAATTTTGGGTGGTCCTATGGAGCCAAAGGTTGGACTTGATGATCCTTGGTGTGTCCCTCCCAACTTGGGATATTCTATGATTTTGTTGAGTTTTTGCACTGTTCAAGCTTCAGCAGCAGGGCTGGATTCTGGAAAGGGATGTTTGAATGATCACAGCACTCCTTGTGCAGTATTACATCCCATAAAGAGCTCACTGAGTACAGGCAGTTCATAAACCTCCACACTTCATTCACAGTAATCCACAGAAGTCACATGCTGCTGTAGTCCATAGCAGAAGGATAATGCAGTCTTGAGCTTCATCCATCCGTTTGCTTGTACTTGCTTCTGTATTCTTTGCTTTTGACCTGTGAGGTACAACACAGAGTCCCACAATCATTTTTGTATTAATTTTCATCTTTCCCAACTCATTTAGCAAACAAATATCTCTTGTGTACTTGCACAACCTCCTGTGCAATGAAACATACTACCCAGTGCAGTGTGGTGCAAAGAGCAAATCTACTGCCTTTGGAAACCCTGCAAGCTGACAGCAGGAAGCGGATGTCTCCTGGACATTTCGTTCAGTGCTTCCTCATTTAAGAAAATAACTTTTGTTCTGAACTATTGTGTTCAGAACAGTTTGCTATCTTGATGCAGATTTCCCGAGGAGCATAGGAGAAGATACAGAGGGAAGCACTGGGGGCTTTCTGGACATGAGTACTATACAGCAGGTTGAGCATCAGTTCAGCAAGCACATCACTACAGTATGGTGGCTGTTGTAATCAAACATGGGCCAAAGCTACTGGCTGCCAGGGCCCACCTGCATTCTACTGTGCCAAATTACATTCCACCTGCATCTAACCACACTCATTCCAATCCAAGGGGCTGTCACAGAATCACAAAATCATCAAGGTTGGAAAAGACCTTCAAGATGATCCAGTCTAATAGTCCATCTATCACCAATATTTCCCAGTAAAATATGCCTATCAATACGTCTAAATGTTTCTTGAAATGTTTCTTTCTGTCCCACAGGGTCACACTGCTGTATTGATGTTTAACTGTGTTCTCTGTTAATACCTAAGAAAAGTAATACACAGAGGAAATTTGTAAAACAGGAGTGTATTGTATGGACCAAATATTTTAGATCAAATGGCAAACCTAAAGCTGCCAGTGTATCCTCAAAAATGTCCACGGACTCTTTGTGTTAGCAAGGTGGATATTTAATTCAAATGCAAAGAAATCAGGTATTTTTTCCAACACTTCCAGTGGAGAATAATACTGTTTTGTTGTCCAACATGTAGCTGAGGGGAAAGCATTTGGGGAGAAGCAGAGATGAGGCTTCTGTGATGCTCTTTTGAGTTCCCTTTTCTTTAATGCTCTCTCTGCAGTGAGAAAGGCAGGGCAAGGAATCTAGCTTTATGTAAGGAAAAGCAGATTTGGTATAAGGTAGCAAAAGCTATGACCCAGCATGTGAAGTTGACTTAGGTTACCAAAACTGGAAATGGAGATTGAGAAGTTACTGAACGGTGAGTCCTTGCAAACAAGAGATCAAGAGAGCAGACTGTTTAGTAGGCCCCTGCCAGTGGGGGCTCTTTTGCTAAGAAATTACAGATTAAGAAATCCTTCCAGAAAAAATAAAAAAATAAAAAAAGAACAATGAAGTGTCCTTAAAAGACGGCACAAACAAGAAGAATCAGAACAAGAGATCATTAAGAAAAAAAAAATGTATTTTCAGATGGTTCAGAAACAGAAGGTGATTGGTGATGAAATCCCTTTGTCCAAGGCTACACATATATTCCAGCTGAAATCAGATCATTATGGGCCAGCCACAGTCTGCATGTTTCTCAGTCCTAAGGTAAATGTCTTCCTGTCTTTATAGAAGGCCAGTCCGCTCTCAAAAGGATCTGGAGAACTGGCAGAGGAAAGAGATGTCCAATGTCTTGGTAATGTCACTCTCAAGGCCTGCAACAGTCAAACAAAGAAAAATAAAAGAATAACAATTAAAACCACTAGGGGCAGACCCTACCATACTATTCAATACTCTCACAAGTTCACAACAAAGCCTTCAAATGCTTGCCTGCACAAAAGATAGGAGAGAAAATTCCAAGGGTAACGTAAACAATATACAGTCTCTGGTATATGGTAACACAAGAAAATTCTAAAATTACAAAATAAAAAGAAGCAAGGAAAGAGAGCACAAATAAATTAAAACCCTAGGAAAAGGAGCAGCCACCATCCATCAGTAGGGGCTGATCCGTTCCTCTCCTCCCTGCCCTCTCCTCTCACAACTTGCTCACCCGCCTACTCGCAGGACAGCCATGGCTGCTGCAGCGTTCTTTCAAGTCGTCCTTCAAAACTCTTCTCAAAGCTCCAGACGTAGGGGCTAACACCAGCATTTCACTCCCTGCAGCAGGGACACTACTGTGGTTACAGACACTCTTGCGGGCCCTAGCTCGTTTTGGAACCGCTCCCTTCAGCACTCAAGGTAGGGAGATTGCAGCCTGAGGAAAGCTAGGCTGAGGGATGGGGTCGCATAACTTATCTTTGCAGGAGAGCAGTGTCAGGTCACCGTTTCCTTCATACACGATGGCGATGACAAGAGCATGACACGGACAGGTCGACTCATGGAAAAAAAAACAGGGTACAGCAGACACACAATGCAAGAAAGGAGGAGCAACCATGAGCTATCAACTCTGGCCAGTCCCGTTCTTCTCCTCCCTGCCCTCTCCTCTCACACCTTGCTCACCTGCTCACTTGCATGACTGCCCGGGCTGCTGATGCATTATAGAAACTCATCCTGGCAACCTCTTCTCCAAAGTCCCAGGCAGGGGCCAGCACCAGCCACTGCAGCACTGGAATAAGGACACAACTGTGGTTACACGAGCTGATGCAGGCCGTAGCTCAGGTCACACCAGCTCCCTTGACCACAGAGCTCAGCAGATTTCAGGCCTCGGGAAAACTAGCACGGTATCGCTTGGTTTAACTTATCTTTCCAGTACGGCAGAGCCAGGACTCCATTTCCTCCACACAGGGCCCAGAGGACAAGGGCACAACACGGGTAGGTCAACTCAGGGCCTGCCGCCACGCTGCAAGAGACACAAGATGCAACAAGGGAGGAGCAGCCACCATCCATCCCTAGGGGCAGCCCTGCTCTTCACCTCCCTGCCCTCTCCATTTGGACCCTGCTCACCGCATTACGGGCACGACACCCATGGCTGATGCACCACTTCCCACATCCACCCTGAAAACTTTCCTCTAAAATCCAGACCCAGCGGCCAACACCAGCAATCTCATCACTGTAACACGGGCACGACTGGGTTGGCAGGACCAACACTGCATTGCACTCAGTCACACAACAGCTCCCTTCAAAGCAGAAGGAAGCACATTTCAGCCCTCTGGAAAACCAGGATGCCCTATGGGTGAGTTGAAGTCACCTTCCCAGCAGAGCACTCTCAGGTCTCCCATTTCCTTTTTCCTGGAAGCAGACGACAAGCACTTGCCACAAACACGTCAATTCATGGCCATCTGCCAGACTGCAACACACACAAAAAGCAACAAAGGAGGAACAGCCATCATCCAACTCATCCTGGCAAGCTCTTCTCCAAACTCCCATGCAGGGGCCAGCACCAGCCATTTAATGAGGGTAATTTAGACTGGGTACTGTGCTCTCTCTCATCTCTTCTCCACGCCTTCTCCCCACTGTTGCTTGGTGCTGCTATGTCATATTCTCTTCCGGTGTTCTATCCACTGTGTCATAGCCTTAACAGTACCTGGTCTGGGTGTACTGTTTTGTAACTACCTGTAACTCGTCATATGTTGATGTGACACCTCTGTGCCTTAGCACTTCATCTCTTGTACTCTGATTTTATCTTCCACTCTCTAGTTGTTAAGAAATTATTATTTTTTATTAAGTAATTTAATAACAACTAAATTAATAGAAAAATCCATAAATAAAGCTTTAAATATTTACAATAAATTACGTACCTGCAATAGTTCTTTAAGAACAGTAGCTCATTATACATTCAAGTTCCTTTATTGAGGTTTTCCTCCGTGTCTAGTGTCTTTTTTTTTTTTTTTTTGCAAACAACAGACAATCTGCTTTTGGAAAAAAAAAAGAAGGTCCTCATCAACTGGACTGGCTGTTATATTTAACACCTTTGGAATTAAGGTCTTTTCCAATGCCAATTTCTGCACCTCAGACAGTTCTGAGCATATTTCAGTGTGAACTGCAAAACATATCTTTATTTCTCTGTTGCAAACAAAGATTTTGCCAGTGATTTCCAGTGTTATACACTTTAGTTGGACAATAGACAGCAATACAGGAATTAGCTTCCATCTGTTTTGTTCACTGCAGGCTGTCATATTCAACTTCTTTAAAGGACAGAATGAGCCTTGAGTGGGCACAAATTGAAATACAGCAGCTTCCGTGTAAACTATGAAAGCAACTCCATTCTGTGAAGGTAGCTCAGCACTAGCACAGGTTTCCCAGACAGGCTGTGGGATCTCCTTCTTGGAGATCTTCTAAAGCTGCCTGGATATGGCCCTGGGCAGCCTGCTCAGGGTGTCCCTCTCAAGCATATAGTTGTGACATTCCATCTCAGAAGTCCTTTCCAACTTCAGACATTCTGCCATTCTGTAACTTAGGCATGGAGATTTAATTCTAACTAGCCGACATATAACAGTTGGTTTAAGCCCTGCAAACCTTCTTCTGAGTTTGGCTCCAAGGCCACCACTGCAGTAACTGACTGATACAGTCAGTTTGCATCATGCCATGACTAAAGATTTGACAGCTAGTCTTACAATGAGCACAGTCAGGGTCAGAATTCTGTGTGTGCAAACTCTCTTCCTCTGGAGACCACCAAAATGGTAGACTCAGTTATAGACTATTGCTTTCCAGCTAGCAGGCCTTTTATCTATGCAGCCTTCACCTGGGAGAAATTAAGGTCCCAAAAGGCTCACTTGTCCTACATATTTCATACCTAAGCCAAGAAAGCCATCTAAGGCAGCTCATCTGCTGGCATCAGTAGCCATACTGCTCTCAAGAAACACAGGTGTTTTCTAGACATCACTGCAAAGCTGGGATGAGAACTAAACTGAGTAGCAGCAAAACAAACAGTCCATTATCCATGTCTGTGTTTGTGCATGAAAAAGTACTACAGAAATGCTGCAATTCTTTACCCATTTTGCACATGTTATCCTCCAGCATCTTGATTTGTTTTCAATATTTGCAGGGATAAATAAATCTGTGGGGTGCTAAGCAGTGAGCACTCAGGTCTGCAGTTTCTCTAGGTGGGACAAACAGCACAGGCATCAGAAACACCTCATGAGAGCTCTTGCCTTTGCTTTGAAACACTAGGAGTTCATACACTTCAGAAAAACTCCAGATAAACATGTGGATTTTTTGACGTTCTTCTGAATCCAGCACAAATTTTGAACTATTTATAATTTTCATTCATCTACTCTGACTCCTCTTTTTACCCAGGGATCTTAATGCCTCCGTGAAGATATTGTTTAAGCTATCTCAACAACAGATAGAAAGCAAAGACTAAGTACACCTTGGCTGCATTTGCAAGCTGCAGAAGGTGCTGCAGTTTAAGGATAACAGAGTAAGTCAATAGTAAATAAATACTGGCTCTACTTTTTTTTAAACATGCTTCCTTTTTGTGAATCCTTTGGAAATCTGACACACCTAGGATTGAGTAAGGAACTATATGGCTCCCTATTTAGCTGTTCCATCATGAAACGCAGTGATAGACAGAAAAGCAACTGCATAGAAAATAGCACATAGGTGCTGTAAATATGTGTTCTTTGTGGGTCTCCTGAGGCATATGTGATGAATTTAATGATTTTTTTTTTCTTTCTCTCCTTCCTGTAGCTAGGGATGTGCTAGTCATGTTGTACTCAGCTCTCCTGCCTCTCCCAGAGCATTGCCAGTTAATGTTTGATTCCAGAAGCTTTGCAGTTGGCAGTGTTTTAATAAGCAGAAAGAACACAGCTTGATTCTCAGGTTACAGGCTGAGCTAGCTGTGCTGGCAGTCAGAGGAAAAACATGGTATTGACTTGAGTGAATTTGGGATAGAAATTGCGGAGGAGGAATAAATGTGGCATACCAGGATGTCACTTTTACACTTTCTGGATGGTAACTGCACTTTAAAGTGGAGAATTTCTGACAGTGACGTCCTCTATTAAGCAACCAACATCTATGCCCATACTTGATCTTCCTGTAAACTCCTTGCTTTTGCAGCTGTCTGACTCACAAAGTGTACTCTTCATAAAATGCACTCACACAGGCTCTGTTTATGAGAGTTACTCAAGTTTTTTTCCAACTAAGAATTCTCATTGTATGAAGAGGAGGCTGGGTTAAGAGAGGAAAAGTTTCCACTGGTTTGGTAAGGACATGGAAAAGTCTTCACCAGGAATGAAAGTTGCAAGTTAGGTAGCACACAACTGACTGTATAGCATAAAAAAATGTGCCTGGAAACTCTTTTTTCACCCCTCGCTACAATATCTAACTGGGCATCTGTAACATCAACATCCCAGAGAAGCTTATGTTAGCACTTTCTTCTCCAGAAGTCCAGGATACCAACTTCTAGAAAATTCATAGAATCACAGGATCTCAAGCTAGAAGGGATTGGCTAAGAACACTGAATACAGCTCCTGGCTCCACACAGGACCATCCTAACTTCAAATCCTACGTCTGGGAGTATTGAACCCTGGCAGCCTGACTGCTCTCCGGTGCAGAACATTTCCCTAACCCCCATCTGACCCTCCTCTGATGGAGCTCCTTGCTGTTCCCTCAACAGAGCTCAAGGCCTCCCCCTTAGCCTGCCCTGCTCTGGACTAAACAAACCCAGGCACCTCAGCCACTCCTCACACTTCTTATCCTCTAGATTCAGGGTATCCGACCTTTTGGTTTGCCTGGGCTGCACTGAGTGAAGGGGAATTGGGCTGATGTTTTGGTTATCTATAGTTTGTGGAAAGCCACCTCCATGATGGTGCAGGGTAAGAGAGTGGGACAATCTCTGGTGGTAGAGCTGTGCACCCCAGAGCACAGTTGACCCTTTTGGCTGGTAGGGCACACAGTTAGCTCACACAGGATTTTCTGGCAACCAGAACTCTCAGATCCCCTTCCATGGGGCTTTCCTCCAACTTCTCACCCCTGTCTGTAGATATAATGCTGCCTCATCATAAACACAGAAATTAGTAGATCAGATGGAATCAGTTGATTGCTCAAGATATTTGGCGTGTCAGTGAGTGGGTACAGAAGGAAGGCCAAATCCAGCTGTCTCAGCAGCTTGCTCACAATGCCCTGATATAGAGGAGAAGGAGAGCTGTGGCAAACTAACAGCAGCTAGTGTCCTTTGAGGCTGCAGGATCTGTCCTTGCTGGCAGACCCTGCAGCACAGAAATATCTAATTTATTTTAAGGAAAGGGTGAAAAAGGATTAGAAGCAGGAAATCAGGCTTTTTCCTTTTCTGGAAGACAGAGACTGTTTGAGAATAAGCTGATTTTGCATCAGCAGCTCAGGGTGACGCACTTTCAAGAGCCATGTCCCTCAGGACAACACCCTTGGCAAGTGCAGCCAACCCTGTAGAAAAATACTAGTGTGAAAGCCAAAGTCTGTGTGTAAGAATGCTAAGCCTTTTTCAGAGGGTAGAGAGGCTTCACAAACATACTTGCTTGTATCAAAATCAGCGTCTCCAGAAGACAGAGTACCGGAATACAAGGCAACATTTGGGATCAAAGATCCAAATTAAGCCTATAGAAAAATCACAAGAATATGTAATTCAGAGAAAAGTCAAAAACACGGTGAAAACAGTCATTTGTTTGTCCCTCAAAGACATGTTTGCAGCTGGATTAGAGTAGTCCTGGGGAACCAGAATGTGAAAATAATTATAAAGAAAGCTCTGAATGTCATACTCCATAGTCCAAGCTTTGCATAATATAAACAGTGAATAAATGCTAATGAAAAAAAAGTAAATGAGCTATTTCTGAATTTACTTTCAATAGCTACTGTGTTATTAGTAATATAGTTAGATAATTATTTTCAGCTGTGTCCCTAGATCCACTGAAATAGTTACATACTCCAAGACAGCAGTAAAAAGATGAGGAACTCCATATATTTTAGCAACCAGGTCTATAAATGCATTGCAAAAAAATTAGTAATCACTGGCTCAAGAGAAAGTTGTTAGCTAATTATAGATCAAGCTGTGCATTAAAATTAATGCAATATTCAAGATATTATAGTAACTATAATGCTTCCTCAGATTAATAGATAGACAATCTCAGAACCTGAGATGTCTGAGAAACTTCTGCAGAATGGTCAGTGTAAGAGCAAGTTTCCAAACATTTCCTCAGTAATGCCACAAGTAGAAATGTTGCCTAGGATGCTCATTCCTTGGCCATGGACTCTGTAGCTTCGCAAGACACTGCTGGCTGGGGTGAGCATGTCTACGAAGTCACTGTTGTTGCTGCTGAGAATATCAAAACATTTTCACATTTTAACAACCTAGCTGCCAGATTAAAAATAAAACAAATAGTCAGACACTTTCCTAAACCAGTCCTATTTGCTACCTCACAGGATGATGTCTAACTTGTTGAATTTCCTGATCTAGAGACCAAGTAGCAGAAGCGATAAACACTGTACATAATCATAGAATCCTTAGAGTTGGAAAGGATCTTAAGATGTCATCTAGTCCAACTCCCCTCAACAAGCAGGGACATCTACAGCTAAATCAGATTGCACAGAGTCCAGTCCAGCCTGGCCTCAAATGTCTCCAAGGACAGGGCACCCACCACCTCCCTCAGCAACTTGCTCAAGTTAACCACACAGCTGTGAAATACTGGCCATTACTGTCTGATTTTGTGTTTTAAATTA